ATGTTTCTGATGCTCCTCTTTCGGTACTCTTCCAATTTTTGTTCCCAATTTCGGTAATAACTGTCACTATTGCAGGTGTTGTTGGCGCTGCCTTTAGCAGTACTTCAGAAGCACAGAGTCAGATTCAATCCGAAACTTCCGGACAAGAAAACGAGAGCCATGAAGTACATCGGAGCAGGGCTCATAGAAAAAGTGATTTGGTTCTTCCAGTAGTTGTCTTCGTATTGAACCGTAGCCATTACTGTTTCAGGTAGCTGTAAGATTTCCACGCTGTTTCTGGAATTCGCTCCTCAAAAAGGACGGCACACTTGACTATTTCAGTCATGCCCCACGAAAGAGTAGCGATCGTGGCCTCTTCAATATGTTCTACGACTTCTCACGCAGGGTTTGTACCTTTTCGGGATAGATTAGTTCGCTTATCTCTTGAGAGTTCATTTCCAGGATGCAAACGGAGTGGCGCCGTTTTACGTGCTAATGTCGTACGTTTGCGGTGATTCTGTCGATATCGTGAACAAGTACAGTGATGAAGAGGTTGCACAAATATTTGTCGACACTTTGAAACAATTATTCCCGAACGAGGTATTTTGACTGGTATTATTGGTAAACTTGAGGCAGTGTATCTCATGGGTAAATATCCTTGTTCAGGATATACCAGAACCTGACGGAGCTGTGGTAACTCATTGGGGCAGAGATCCACATATTGGTATGTCCTACAGCTATGTTCGTATTGGTGGAAGTGGAACTCACTATGACGACTTGGCGGCTCCAATCGACGGAAAGCTATACTTTGCTGGAGAGGTAGGGATCAACTTCATAGTCACTATCCACATTCCGTTGCAGTTTGGCATTTTGGGGCACGTTGATTTCGTAATGGCTGTTAGCTCTTGTGGAGGCCTGTAAAACCTTGTAAAGCTGTACAATAGCGCAATCTTTGTTTACGCTAAACAAGAGTCTACAGGCCTCATCAAGTTGAGAAATGTAAATTAGCAGGAACTAGCAAGGCTGCGTTCATACTTTGCGGCACCGTCTACCAGCGACCATCAGCGTCTCGAAGGAATAGGAAATTAAGGATATTGATTTAGCATCTACCAGCGCCCACCAGCGATCAGGAGTGGAGAGTATGGGGGAGTAAGGTAGCAGAATGCTGGAGCATGGGGAAGTAGGACGGAGCAAATAGCTGGCGTAGCGTCGCGAAATTGTAGCACGTGCAACCACAATACCGTATTCCTGGTCCCTGGTAGATGCTGGCGATTGCTGGCAACGCTGATATACGCTAGAGTGATATCCATACTTTCCTAGTCCCTCGAGACGCTGATGATTGCTGGCGGACGCTGGTAGACGTTCCCTTCGTTGGATCGATACCTATACTTTCCTGGTCGCTGACGCTAATGGACGTTCGAAGCGCTGATGGTCGGTGGACGCTGTCGGAAAGTATGAACGCAGCCTCAAAGTAACTAGCAAGCTAAGGAATGCCACCTTCCTTCCTTCCACACACACACACACACACACACACACACACACACACACACACACACACACACACACACACACACACACACACACACACACACACACACACACACACACACACACACACACACACACACACACACACACACACACACACACACACACACACACACACACACACACACACACACACACACACACACACACACACACACACACACACACACACACACCACACTACCACAACACAGACACACACACACAACACTACCACACACTTACATCACACAGAACCACAACAATAGAACACACACCACACACACACACCACAACACACACCACCATAACCACAACAGTTATTTCTCTCTGCCTGAACCCGCAATTAGCTCACATGATAATGATACTCTAACACTGTCTCAGCTTGCCTTTAACTCCTCTACATTTCCGACTCTGGGATAACTGGAGGGAAAATGAAAGAACACACACATCTTGTCATTCGCCTCTAACCTATAAATCTTTAGCAGAATCCCCGAAAAATAATCCAAACCCCGCTATGTCTGTCGGGAGAATAGGCCTAGTTTCTTTCTCTCTTATTAAGATGGTGATTTTGCTCACTACCGTTTGTCTCTAACCCGGTTTCTCAGTGCTCACAAATCGATTCTTCCCACAAACGATGACCGGCGCCTACATCAGCGGACTTCGTGAAGCAGGACGCATCTGGGAGTCCTCCCACAATGAAATATGGATTGACTAGTCTAGCCCTCAGTCCTCCAGAGGTTGTGTGGATCATTTTGTGCCATTAAAAATCAGAATTTCATGCATCTAGAGACAATTCTTACACTTGGAATAACCTCTTTTTCATTTGTTGCGAGAGAATGTTGAGTTATAGGAAAAAATGGACCCCAGGCGGGACTTTTCTGCTAAATGTGTTCCCGTGGGTCATAGCTTTGCGTTGCTTCGCATTCATTTATAGGGTTCAAAAAAGCCAAACAGCACGATGAACCAAAGTGAAAAATTCTTTTCTGAAACAGAACTGAGCTGGTTTCGAGAAGAAAATGGAAAGTCCAGCACTCTCCTTGGCTCTTTGGTTCAACCGTTTTATTCGATTTGGTTAGTATTCGTCACTATCGGATTCGTTTTTTAAAGTGCGGTTGTTGTATGATTCTAAGCTAGGCCAATTGTAGCAGCTAGCCTACTTTTTACTGCCGTTGTTCGAATTGTGCTTGGTTTCAAAATTGTTCTGTTGCATTTAGCCTCATCCATTCACATTCCAGTCCTTGGACAGCAAGCGTCACAGGGCCGTGAGCGCACAGCATTGCAGCGATTTGGCCTGAAATAGCGGTCAAGCGGCTTGGTTGCGCCCTATACTTGACATCTTCGCAAT